TGTGTGTGTGTGTGTGTGTGTGTGTGTGTGTGTGTGTGTGTGTGTGTGTGTGTGTGTGTGTGTGTGTGTTAGATTAGCCTTTATTGTCTCCTTTAGGGGAAAATTGTCTTGGACAAATGAGGACAACACATCATGTAAGATAACAGTTTGATACCCTGTACCTTTTTCTTGAGGGTTTCAACTCATACTCTTTATAAAGGATGTGATTTATACCCTCAGTGATTTTCAGACAATGTTTTATTAATGACTCTTCAAATATCACCTGGAGAGAAGATGAAGTGAGCATCCCAGTTATCATTAGCATATCCAGTTACTATTATTTAAGTATCCCAGTGCTGCTCTCTTTAGAACAAATCGCTCCAAGCATCTTGAAATTTACACACTAGCAAAAAAAGGTTATGAAATTCAACCTTGGTGCCACAGTGTTTGTTTAATGGAGCTTATCAAAGGTGAGACAGCGGTCAGCTGTTTTCTACGAATGCAGAAACAGAGGTGTGCATAGAGGACTAATTCTAGCATAAAAAGAAAGCATACCAAATGAAAGAAAATATGTGTAGCAGTACTGTGGGTAATGCTGCTATCTGGAGTAACTTTATAGTGATAAGGTTGTGACATTGTAATGACAATCTGTATAGGTGATAATGGTGGGTGAGAAGAAGTTGCTACTATTCATCATGATGATAACAGCATAGGCCGTAAGTCCGGATAACATAGGTAATGATCGTAGTATTACGCAATCTTTACTGGACTCCTGCTTCATATCATATCAAATAATTGGAGGAAATATCAGGGCTGAATATGCTGAGTGTGGCCAGGGTTTGTTTTGACTAATGGTAATGTATTAGATCTGCTGACCTGAAAGAGTCTCCAAAATGTTACCAAAAATAAAGACAAACAATGTAAAAGTCAGGTGTTTTACACTTGCCATAGGTGATGAGGAGCAGGACAAAGGCTTTATTCTTCACCAGGTTGAGGATGGACTGTTTGTAAGAGTAATCTTCAGGAGGGGAGTCTGGTAAGACAGCCTGTGCTTGACTGGGAGGGAGAGGAGGTCTGTCTTTTATGACTGTGGAAAAGGCAGAAACAGTGAAGTGATGGACCTTTTATGTGAGAAGAAAATAAATCAGAGCCTCTGTGAGCATACAAGAACCAGAAAAGTTAGGAAATTATTGATATGTGGTATCAAATGTAAATAATAAACATCTGCATACACACAGCCCACATTTTGAATTATAAACTATTTATTTAGATTATTTTTGACTCAATTCAAGTATGAGGTTAAATCAGAGATTTGTTATAGAGTCTGAGGTAGTTTCAGGAAGTCAGCTGCCAAAACCAGGAGTTCCTGAAATTACTGCAATGGAACTTTGATAATATGTCAACTCTTGATTGGCTCGTTTTAAACCAGCTGCAGTTTCAACACTGTGTGTTTACATACGGTGTCATAGCTATTTAAAGACACCTACTATTAACCCCACTTTACAGAATGATGCAGAATCTTAATCTCAAACCCAATTCATGATCCTGAACTGGATGCTTAGTGTTTTTTAGAATATTTACAATAATCTTAGTCTCAAGAAGACAACCTGGCCCTTAGATGCGCAAAAGCATACTTGCACACCTGTGTACCTGGAAGCAGAGGTGTGCCAGTGTTCTTTGTACCTGCAGGCCTCTGTACACATGTACACAACAGAAGTCTGAGTTTGAGCACCACTCCCTGGCAACTGAAACATTTGGCAGTACCAAGAAAACGTATGCTGCTTTGCATAATGTAAGCCAGCGTGCGACTGTGTGATATTAAATGTGTACCTATCACTGCCAGGACGAAGAGGACCGTGGAGACGGCAGCTGTACCGTAGAACATAATCATGATGTTGTGACCTGTGAGTTCAACATTATCAGGGGTGTTAGGAACCAAAACAGGAGGCAACAAGAAGCCAATGGCTGCCCCCAACTACAAATAAAAGGCACAGGAAGAGAGAGAAGAAGAGATTATTTACTTACACAAATATTACTATTGCTAAACTGAGCACATAAAGAGCTGATAATCTGGTGATGATAGTTTTGTCCATTAGTTGGCTGTGGCTAAGAAATTATTTTTCATCTACTATAGGCCTATTCTTAGGTTTTATTAGTCCTAGTATGTTCCACTGGTCCCAAGTTTTTCTAATTTCTCTATTTCTAGTAATGAAAATGTTGGAATTTCGACTGTTCGTTCGTGGGTGCAATAATTTCTGGGGGGTCAATAATTGTCAGTGAGTTCTTGGCTGTTATTATTGTATTTGTTGTTCATTTGCTGTAAAAACTTTGAATGATCACTAAAATAGAATCACGTCTCTCTTCCCCCCTGACTCGGTCTGCTCACTAAACACCACACAAACCTAACCTATCAATAATCTGTGACACGCGCACGCGCTGACCTGATTTCCGAGCACTGCCGTGGCGCACGCAGTGGAAACCTCTCGGGGTCCGAACCACACCGAAGCCACGCGGGAAGGCAGGCCGAGGATGAACACCTGCGCCACGGAGCAGATGACCTGCGCGGTGACGGTGACTGCGAACAGCTGGGGGTTCACGCTCGCGCATTTCAGCCAGGCGCCGGCGCAGTTGAGGCCGGCGCCCAGCAGGGCCGTTAAGCGCAGACCCTTTCGGTCCAGCAGCCAGGTGGCGGGGAAGATGAGCGGCACGTAGGCCACCATGTAGACGATGGAGAGCCAGTCCACCTTGTCGTTGGTCACCCCGTAGTACTGCGTGAACACGTTGGTGATAATGCTGTACTGGATCCACTGGAAGGCGTTCACGAGGGAGTACAGGCTGAAAACGGCCAGCACGGCGAACCGGCGGGCGTACACCCTGGTCTCCAGCCTTTTCTCTTCCTCCTCCTCGCCTTCTCCTCCTCCTCCTCCGTTAGGTAGCATCACCTCTCTTTCATCAGGCGGAGCTTCCTTGTCCTCCTCCAGCTCCTGCGCGCGCTTTGAGATTGTCTCCCCGGCCCCGCCCGCGTGCACCGCTTCGTTTGGCCGTTCCTCGTCCTCTGGCTCCTTCCTGCCGACCGTGATGTCGTCAGGTGCGCCGGTACCCGCGCGCAGATGCTCCTGCACGAGCTCACCGGCGACCATGATGCGTGTTCGCAGCCTTTTGCTCTTTTTGCGCGATGCTGAGTCCAGAGATGATCGACTGAGGCGAGCTGAGCAGGAAACAGAGAGGTTTCCTCATTTGGTTACCGGTGAAAAAGAAGGCTGAGCTGCAGATGACTGAAATATGAACAACTGCTGACTACACATCCTTAAATATGAAAATACTCGAACACTCAACACTCCTTAGAAAACAATACCCGGCTTCTGTCAAACAGCGTGCTGCTCCCGGTCTGACACACTTGATTCTCTCTCTCTCTCTCCCTGTCTGGTGGTTTCAATACGTCTCTCTACCTTTTAAGCCGACTCTGACACAAAGCCTTTCGATAGCGATGAGCCAATAGCAGAGCAGCATGAGCTTGTAGTATCTAGTAGTGCTGCCTGTCTGGGCGTATGTGTGAATGGTAACCGTGGAAGCTCTGATGCACACGTAAAGAAAAGTCTGTGCTAGGAAGTCAAAACGAGTCAGTTTCGTCACTAAGTCATCTTCTCTTTTTTTTTTTTTTCTTTTCTTTTTCTTTTCTTTCATCTTCTCTTTAATCTGCTTTCTAATACCAAAAAAGTAACGCGAGATCATTTAAATGTTTGTGGATGTTAGACTGTTTCTCATTTCTACCAAATTAGATGAGTGAGTTATTTTCATATGTAATCTGTGCTTCTTGTGAGATCTCTCGGTACCATAGTCAGCGGCTCCTAGAAACACGGCCTTAAACTGTCAGACTCTCCCGTGGAAACAGCTCAGTTTGGGAGCAATAGACACACCCTCTACTTTTAGAGCCCTGCTTTAAACAAAGTAGAGGCTGCTTTGTTTAAAGCAGGGCTGGAGCAGGCACGCTTGACTCACCTGATATTTATGCTGTTGTATGCCCAGGGTGCTGGGAGACTTCCCATGATGCACTAAGCATTTCCTTCTTTTTCTTTTTACTCCTGCTGCTAATATGCCACTACTGTATGCGACTAATGTTTGGCCACTCTCTCGTGGATTTTATGTTTTATCTACACTCCTCTTTCTTAGTTCACAACAGATGGTTGTGCCTCCCTGAGCCTATGGGAGACGTGGATAAAACAGTGTTCTTCCTCACCACAGTCGCCAAGCCCTACCTTAATGGGGATTATCAGATTGCAGGGGTTCTTCCTCTAATACTGTAAATGGTATACAAGTAAAGATGAACAGAACTGATTGAAAAAATATAAAACTAATCAGTGTTCCTTTAGTCTGTAGCTACGCTGCCTGTTCCATATACTCAAAGTAGCCTGTCCATATGCTGAGCATTATCTGCTCTAAGCCTAGTGTGACCCAGTGAGAATGGATGCCGCAGCAAGTCTGATCCTACAGGTGATTCACACCTACAGTAAAATCTACACGCATCTGATCTCTTTACTGGACTTTAAAATGCAAAGCAAGCAACATTTCACAGCCCTTTCTGTGTTTCTTTTCCAATAAATGGCAGTGCAGTGTTGTTTGACTTCACTGAACAATGTGTAAATATTCAGCTTGCAATCATTTATAAATCTCCAGCTTCTAAATATCCCAGTTATTATTATTAGGTTCTTTCTCAGTGGGCTCAATCAAACTTCTGTCCACTCCAGACGTCACAACTACGTTAATTATACACAGTGGTTGGTTTTATTTATTTTGTTTTTATGCAGCTGCCGTTACAGGTTCTGCAGACTGTAGAATACCTGAGGTTGAATCTCGTACAAGGCTTGTTTTCTCATATATCAGTGTTTTGTGAAAGCCTGACAACTAAAGAATAAAACAAAACCAAAGGAAACTAAGATCACACCTCGACTAAATTTGAAATTTAATATCTGATGTGGGATTCTTACTCCACATTCTAGTAATCTCTAGGCGAGGGATGTTCTACTTTCGCTCGCACAGAGTGGCTCATCTCCCTTAATAAATTATCTTTGAGACCCCTCTTCCGGTTTCTTGTTGCCCAGGTAACAAGTGCATTCTCACAGCTTACCTTTGGATAATTTATGAAAGGAAATCTAGTCCACATTAATACTTCCTACAAAGATAAATAGTAATGTCCGGGTATGAGGATCGGGCTCTGCTGGAGCTGAATCAGAGCAGGGAGACGTGGTGTCAGGTGGAGATGAACCCCCGGCAGGGCTGGGAGAGATCACAGAGGAGACATTACCGGAGTCACTTGAAGACCAGCCCGGTTCTCCTTACAGCTCTGACCGGCAGACCGCAGCGCAGAGAGGCCTGCACCCAGCGGCCTGCCCCCGTCAAGCTCCCGGAGAGAAGGCACTTCGAGGAGGGCTGTAAGAAGGCTTCTCTGAAGATTTTACAGAAATGTTTCTGTAGATCTGATATGGACACGAGAAACTGTGTGTCTGTCCCAAATACTTTAAAGATATTAATATTTAATTAGATAATTAAATTCTAAAAGGCTGAAAGATTCAATATTTTAAAACTACAGCAAACCTGTATCCACAGTTATTTAGTTTATCAAAGAATCCCACTTTCCAGATATTCCAATTTCCCGTATTACGTTATTAAGGATGAAATTTGTTTAGTACCTTCATTTGCTCCACAGTACAGAGAAATGAAATGTTAGTAATGAGAGATAGTTTGCACACATGCCATTACATTAGGACCCTACAGGTCACCTGTTTTATGACTGCTGTTGTCAAACATGTGGCCCACATGTTTTTGCTGACAGACCCAGCCTCAGTAGGTCCTTTCCACCTCATTGGATGGTTTTGCAGAAAAGGAGAGCATGGCTGTTTAACGTGCTAAATCTGAGCCTCAAACCTGAATCATGGTCAGTTTCTCAGCCTTCTCATTAAAAGACTTTACCCACAACGTGTCATACAACACCTTACTAATCTACTTACACCTAGGAGCCACGCTGATGCCTTTCTCTAACAGTAGACGGGAAAAGCAAAAAACGAGGCGTATTATTATTAGCTTGATGTTAAAAACTTGATGCAGTGGTCTTACCAGTCCAGTCTACTTAAGGTTAAATTGATGGTATGTGGCCCACAAAGTAAAATGAGTTTCACATCACTTACCCAGGCAATCATCTAATGCAAATTTACCACTTGTACTGTAGTTAACTGGCTTAAAGTTTAAAATCTGTAGTGCACCACTTAATTTCTGCATGTCTTGATCAGGCTGACATAAACATATTTATCAAAAACATGAGGTGGAACTATGCTGTATCAATGATTTATGGAGGAAAACAAAACTGATGCTATTCTTCTTGCTTTTATTTAACTGAAATTCTACTTAAGTATTGTTTTGTTAATGTTCAATAGAACTTGTTTGAAAAACAAGTTTGAGAACAGCCGTATTATTTGATTTTCTATAAAGTGATCAAAAAGAAAATGAGCAGCTGTTGACTCCTGAGATCTGTCTCTTCTCTTCCAGATAAAACTCACCTGGTCTAGAGAGCTGCAGCCTTAGAAGATGACCTGAGCTCATACTGCAGATACACCAGGGACCCAGACGTGGGGCAACTTTCAATATTTTATTTTCACAACTAATATATGACGTGATACAAAACCCCAAATACGCTGGAGATCATGGCACATGAGGTCTTAAAACATTTGATTGTACTTGTTATTGACAGTACTGAAATTAAAAACTCATTTTTAAAAAATAATTTCCATGCATCACTCGCTTTGGTCAAGAAAGACACATCTCATTAATTATTAAAATCATCTGCAAGACTTTGCAAAAAGCTTCTAGCTTGTGTGAAACTTAATAAAAACCTCAAAAGTAAAGAAAAACCTTTCTGATATTCAAACGTTAGCAGTGTTCATCACGTGTTTAAAAAAGTTCACAGCCTCGCAGTGAAACACTGAGGGGCGGACAGTAGTAATAGGGCATCGTCACTGATTTCTAGAATCGATTCGATTCCGATTCACAAGGTCCCGAATCGATTCGATTCGATTTGAATCTGGGAAATTTTGCCTCAGACAGTCAGAAATATTATATATAGGTGTGAGCATCAGAGCAGATGGCTTTGTGTCAAAGTAGCTGAAGATAAAACACAGAGAAACATGAAGGTGATTTTCCTGGCCTGGGATTTTATAAAAATATTCTGCAGTACATCAAAAACGAAAGAAAACCATTAATCAACATATGAACATTACCTCTGAAGTTACAGAGGTTTTATTAGAGACACGGCTAAGCGTTTTGCATAATTGAAAAAGTTTAAATTTGTTCAGAAGCCTATTTGAACGGCAGAAATTACGTTTTCTTTTCGGAAGTAATTAAAGGGGGGAAAAAACAGCGGCCGACAGCGCTGTAAACAACGGTAGACTTGTGGGTAACAAGCAAGCGAATAATGCAGAAAACAGTACAGAGAGAGAGAGAGCTGTGCATGAAGTGTGATTTTATCGTGGTGGAAGCAAAACAGCAAAAGTCAGAGTGAATTCATGACACTGTTTATGTGAAGCGTTTGGATCTTCTTTTGCTGCAGGTTCAGTCAATATATTTGGAGAGAGATAAAACCAACAGCTTTAGAATCAGCGCAAAAAGGGCGTAAACACAAAGCGCGACCGCTTTCAGCCCCGACCGTGTCCGTGCCGTCGGGTGAGAAAGGCGACATCTCACTGATTCGTCAGCAGGTCCGCGCTTTGTGTTTACGTCTTTGTGCAGAATCCGTGGTCCTGCTCGCATTTACTGTTTTAGCTGTTTGGTGGTTGTTGAAATTTTGTGAGGTTTAACCTGAGATTCTGGCGTTTTGGGCAAAATAAATTTATATTAAAAAATTGATTCACCCCTAAGTAGTAAAGGGAGTTATCTTTTCCATGACGTCACACACTGGGTGAGCCTTGGATTTCGAAATCACGCTCATGTCACTGTCAGCGTGTTTTAGCTTTGGGGAAGAGTCTGTATGCATTGTGTGCGGTGACCAGCCGAACAGTTTCTGGAGGGAGACCTTTGACATCGGCGATGTAGCGACATGGCAGGATGATGTTAGCGGGCTCATTCCTCACCTGGCAGACAAAAGACAGATTAAACATGTCTGCACTTGTGGCGCTGTGTCTCAATATGATGATGACTTTAAAGCCTTTAAAACTTACATGCTGGTGAAGCCCGAGGGCAGGAGAGTCGGTCTCAAGACAAATGTGCTCCAATGGGATCTGCTTGATTAACTTGTCTCTCTGTGTGGCGGTACTAAAACTGTTTATTCAGGTGACTCAGCAAAAAATGTTAAAAAATGTTTTTCCACAGGACGACATTTTTCATCTCACCTGTTTGCTTCTGCAGACGGCGGGGGGAAAAGAGAAGAGGTAGCCCGCCTTCACACCTTCCAGAGCGACCGATGGCTTCCCCGCAAAGTTATGAAGCAGAGCTCGGCTGATGCCTGACAGAAAAACAGAACATGAGATAACGTTCAGATGTCTGCACGGTTCGCTGGAATCTAACACTCACCTTGTTCCTTCATGGTCTCAATCGTGACCCTAGCAGCTGATCTGGAGTGGACGTTCCTGAACAGAAATTCACAATCGACACGTTACACAGACTTCTATGTGGATTAAAAACCTTCACTTAGCGACTTGTGCATGCTCGGCAGACTGACTGTTTGATTATTTCTGGGAAACACAGGCTCGGGGTAAAAAGCTCAATGTGAGCTTCATATTTTTATTCTTGGACTCTGCATGATTTGTTCATTCATGTTTACACTGAGTCTTGATGCACTGGGACTTCTTTAAGCTAAATATAAGATCTTGTTTGGTCCTAAAATGTGTTAAATGAAATCCGTCATTTAAAAGTTCAAACACTTTAAAAGTTCAAACCTTAAAGCAATGAAACAATGGAATTCAACACAGTGGAGTACACAAATATAAACCCTGTGTTATATTTGTGAAAAGGGAAAAAACTTGAATTTGAACTCTAACAACAGCTATTTTAATTAGTCCTCACACAGGTAAGTCCAGCTCCTTGGCGATGCTGAGCTGTTTGATGAAGACGGTCACTTGGTCATCTCTGTCCTGCTGAGTCGGGGCGCACCAGGGAGTGAAGTCTAAACCAATCTGAAAAATTTAAAGAAGGCTGTTATGGCCCAAGCAGGGCCTCCTGTGAAATTGAACTTGTGTGGGTGTGTCCTGCCACCCTTTTTGCACAGCTGACTCTAATCAGCAATTAGGACCAGAGACAGGTGAGGTCTAGTGCCAAAGAGCCTTGTTGGGTTTTGTAGGTGGCCTGCTCTGTGGAGAGGAATGTGTTTTGGTGACTAACCCTTTTTTGACTTACTTTTCAGTTTATTGACCAACTACTGGGTTTTGTTGTTTTCCTTCTTTAAAATGTGATGGGGCTTGTCCGTCTCTTTTAGTTGAATTACTAATAAAAACATTAATAAAACCCTTTAATTTAACCATTTTGCCTCCCACGTCTCCTTTAGATATTTCCCTCATCCCCTGGACCCTTTAAGAGTACGTAAAAGTTTGGGGCTCATCCGGGATTTGAAAGTAGGACCTTACACACCCCAAGCCCAAATCGTAAAAAATAAATACATTTTTTTTTTAATCAGTCATCCCATCCCAGACTACTATTAATGTAGGAAAAGTTTTAGAAGACCAGAATCACTTTGCATTTCTTTTTCACTATGATCGTTCCAAATTTTAAGTCGTTTTTAGAACAAATTTAATCAAAATTTCATTTCCTGAAAAGGTACACTCAGACTAGCATCTTAATGCTCACCATTAACATGACATAAACATTTAACGCACTGATCTACAAGTTCAGTATTCAAAGGGTTTATGCATGCTACGGTAGAAACTAAACCTTGGTCTCAGGTTCGCTCTTTAAACTCTCAACTTTGATCTATGTCAGTGAATCGTTAGTGATTAAGTTTCATAAGAGAAGAAACATAAGAAATTTCTATAAGAAACAGAAATGAGGCGCACCAAATGCTACATTGGATTTGTGTGTGCCACCTTAAAAACTGACACCTGCTCTGGTGCATGAGCCTCTGGCAAGGAAGAGGTTTAAGTCGCCATCTCTCAAGTGAGTCAGTTCTCACAGAGCTTATGTCCAAATGAAGTCGAGTCAAACTGGTTTGATTGCTCAACCTAAAACCACAAAGTACCCTCAACCACTCAAGCATCCGCAGATTAAAGAAAAAACTGCCAGAACAGATATGAGGGAAAAGGTTACAGATTCAAACTGTAGCTGAACTAAAATGTGCTCAGTGAAGCAGAGGATGGAGCTCGACGTCTCCAACCTAATCCAACAGCTGGAAACAGCAGTAGGAGAGTGTCGATTTAGCCCTGTGACGCCTGAAATGTGCTGAAAAAACACACATTCCTCATTGAGACCATGTAGAAATTCCCTGCACCATCAGCGCCTGCTGGAGAGCAGTTAGTGTGTGTGACTGTCTGTGAGCCTGAGAAAGATTGTTACTGACCGTGTGCATTAACCTTTTCTTACAAGCGAGATTAGCAGGTAAATCGGGGCTTTTAACAAGTTTAATCTGCTTTGCTTCAAGACAGGTTACGTTAGCAATGTAAAGATTTTTTTAACATGGGGCAGACACAGTGTGTGTTAGTGTGTGTGTTTGTAACAGTTGAATCCATGACCACCCTTAAGCCTTCAGAAGCTGATATAACTTAAATTATCTATGAAGTCTTCCAGTCATGGAATTATTTATTATATAAAACTTTGGTTAAACTTTTTCCTACTGAGCTCCATTTCATGGAGTCTGAGATGCAGCACACTTCTTAGTCAATTTAAAAAGACGTTTAGCTTAGACATATAAACATGTTTTATTAAATCCGCAGAAAAATTAAAAATAGTTTAATAAAAGAGATTATTATAAGGTTCAGTTAGAGGTTAAAAGTCTACCTCTCCAACAGCGACCAGCCGTTCTTTGTGATTATAGAAGTGTGGAAGGGCGACGTCCAGATCCTGTAGAACATATTTCTTTATTAAAGGTGAGGCTTAAAAAAGAAAAAAACATTAAAAAAATATTTTTCTGGGTATTCAGCAAACACTGATCTACTGGAAATTTCCCACACCATCTTCAGGGATTACAGAGAATAGTCTGAAAAGGAGAAAACAACCAGTGTGCAGCAGTTCTGTGAGTTTAAATGTGAAGTTAATGACAGTGATCAAAGAAGAATGGCCAGACTGCTGCAACAATAACTCAAACAACCACTTGTTATAGCTAAAGTGTGCAGAAGAGCATCTCTGAGCACACAGACACGCACTCACAGATACTTGAAGCAAATGCGTAGCAGAAGACCACAATGGTGGTCTGATTCCATCATTTCCTTAGGGATTAATAAGCATTCTGTTTCTGATGGGCTGCCGCTCCCGTCAGCGAAGAAAGGAAAACTGATGCTAAAATTAAACAACAATAAATTTGAAAAACAGAAAGCCAGAATTTGGTATAAACAACATGAAATGGATCCTGCCTTGTATTAACTGTTCAAGTCTGCGGTGGTGTAATGGTTTGACACTTTGCACCACCTTAGAACAGATTGAACATCCTTTAAACATCACAGCCTTTCTGATTACTGTTGCTGACCATTTCCATCCCTTTATGACCACAGTGTGCCTGTCTGTTGATGGTTGCTTCAAGCTGGTTGGTACATCCTTGTCAAACTAGTTTCTTGAACATGTATGCAAATGTCCTCCACAGTCACCAGATCTCAATCCAACAGAGCACTTTAGGGTGTGGTGCGGTGGAACAGGAGATTCATATCATGGATCTGCAGCCAACAAATCTGTACTGGATGGATAATGCTATCTTGGACCAAAATCTCTGAGGAATACTTCAAGCACCTGGTTGAATTGCTGCCATGAAGAATTAAAGCAGATTTCTACCATAGTAAGCAAACTACATGAATCACTGGATACAGTCTGGATACAGATTTCCTTCCCATTTTTTCATGATTATTTAAGTAAAATATTTAAAAGACAGAT